ATTGGCTTTGAATTCACTTTGTAACCAGACTGGCCCTGAACTTGCAGTGATCCTCCTGTGTCAGCTTCCCAAGGGCTGGCATTAGAGGAGTGAGCCTTTACACGCCACAGCCAATAGAAAGAAGTCTGTGCTGATGGAAGTGGTGTGTGTCTAAGTGGCCCAATTTAGTAGTCACTAATCAAATGTGGCTCTTCAGCACTCAAAATGTGGCTAGGCAACTGATACAAATTTATTTAATTTTGCCAACAAAAATGTAAGTAACTACCCATCACTACTAGGTCCTATATTGGACATAGCATAGTCCTTGATTAAAAGACTAAGGCAACAGAATAACCAAATGCCATGGGTGCATGAACCTTGATTGGATTCTGGACAACAGATAGGACAAAAATGAGAAAAATAAAGTCAGAGAAATAAGAAATATAAATGTAAACTGTTTAGTGATTTGCCATTGTTGAAACAAGGTGTGATTGTGGAATTTTGTTTTGTTTTGTGGGATAATTTCATACTATTCCATTAAAGACTGAAGTGTCTGCTACTTAATGTTGACTGGTTTAACACACAACAATATAAAGCATGTACAGGAATCCCAAATGTTAGTAATTTATATCAGCAAAAAACATACTGAGATACATTGTACCTCCTTTTACCTTTCCTATTGGTTTTTAAAAATAAAAAGTGACAAACAAAATATTAAATAAGTAAATAAATAAAAATTCAGACACCCATGGGAAGTGGGACCCAAGCAAGGCTGACCACTTTTTCCAGCTTCCAAAACTCTGTGTCCCAAACACGTATATGCAAATCAGTCATTTATCACTCTAAATCTGTTTTCCCACTATCTTATTTATAACTATCTCTCTGGTAAATCCCAATTAGAATTGCAGTTTAATGTGGTGGAATTATACTATAGGAAAGGAATGCTAAACCTATTCCTCTGATAGAAGTTCTGTGACTTAGAGGAGCAGCAGGAAACTTGCAAGATTCCCTCCTAAGTCTTGCCTCTCCAACTCTCTTATCTGAGAAACTAAGAGTGTTCTTCTCATTGATGAAAAGGACCAAAGCCAAAATTTTGGAGTTCCTGTTTACTTCACAACATGCTGGTTACTTGTGGGTTAAATAATTGTGAGTCAGTCACACACATAGTTAAGTGACCCAAAGTTAAACAGAATGTGAATGCCACAGGTGACAAGTAAGAGCTTCAGATAACAAGGGAAATGTTTACAAACAAGTCAATACTTAAATTAGGCCTTGAACCATCATTTCTCAGGATGGAATCTGGCCTAGAAATCAATTACATGTGTACTTGCCAAAAATGCAGATCCCCTTGGGCCCCTGAAGAGTCGAATGTCTGTATTTATTAAGCATTCTAGTTGATTGTTATGAATGGTAAAGTCTGAGAACTTTGTGTGGTAGATTTTGGGCCTGTAGAAAAAACCCTGCATGGGGCTGGGGGTTTAGCTCAATGGCATAAGCGCCTGCCTTGAAAGCAGGCAGTCGTGAGTTCAATCCCCAGTACCGATAAAAAGGAAAAAGACAAAAAAAGAAAAAGCCCTGCACACAACTCTTAACAGGTTAGGCATTTTGAGCAAAGGCATGCAGTAGAAAATGAAACTGCACTTTTAAAGAGTATAAGGGCCACATCCTATAGGAGGAGAAAAATTCTTCCCTTTGAGGTTAGGTGAGATAAAATAGTAGGACATGACATGTGCATAGAAAGCTAAAGGAGGTTGGCCAGGTTTTTTTTTTTAATTTTATTTTGAAAGTAGTAAAATACAACAGAACAAGACAGAATAAAACCAACTAAGATTGTACAGTGAAATTGATACAGAACTTCACAGCAGGTTACCGGGGTAACAGTAATAGGTTTCACAGTATATTTCATTATCTTTACAATAGTTGTTCTTTCAATCACATATATCAAAATAAAATGAAATACAGAACATTATAGAACTTATCAAAACAGAATATTGAATAGAGCAGTACTATTAATCAGAATAGAGCAAAACAGTAATAAAAATATTTGCCTTCAAATAGATGGTAGAAGGAAATCCTCCTTATTTGCTATGGTCATCCTCCCAGGAGATGCTCAGATATCTGGTTCCCACTTGCTAATGGGGGGGACAGGAGAAGAGGGGTAGAGGAAGTGGGATGTTTGACTCTAGGCTGTGCACCAGAATATTCACTATTGCTTAGCAGGGAGGCAGGCTGCTTGCTTGGTTTCCCAGCTTCGTAAGTTCCAACATGGTGTGGATCTCAGAAGACACTGGTGGTTCTCTCCCTGGAGGGGCCGCAGCCGGCCACACCACAACCACTTACCAGAGAGGGGACGCTTGGCTTCCCAGCGTCCTAAGCTCCAACATGGCGTGGATCTCAGGAGCTGCTGCCGGTGGTTCTCCCCCTGGAAGGGCTGCAGTCCGCCATACTGCCACTGATTACCAGGGAGGCGAGGTGCTTGGCTTTGCTTTCCAGGGTCCTAAGTTCCAACGTGGCGCAGATCTCAGGAGCCTCTGGTGGTCCCCCACACACACACAGTCTGAATTGGCCTGTTTTGGAAAGATAGTTGTTTGACAATGAAGAGAAAATGATATTTTAGGAAAATCATCCTGGCCAATTGTTCAGGATGAATTAATGAGGCACCAAAATGGAATCAGGAAGACAAGTGAAGAGGTAATTGCAGTAATCCAGTGTAGAGGGGTCAGATCTCTACTCTGCCATCCTCTATGTTCTTACCTGGATTCTTTGGCTGGATCTAGAATCCTCATTTATGTAACAGCTGATTATCAAAGGAAAAACATAAAACTTTTAGTAAACTTACATTCACATGGGAATTTTCACGAGAGTAAAGTCCAAAAAGATGATGAAATCATGATGTTTTTATACTTTTTAGATAATTAGGAAGAAATGATAGGACAAGTGGATACCTTGATGAGAATAATAAATGCTACAGCTGCTACTAAGAGATATATAGAGGGGGAGTGTAGAAGCTAGCAGAAGATAAAAATTATGCCATAGTTTATTGATTCAGCTCCATGGTCACCCTAATTATCTGCTCTGGTAATCAAAGTTATTTTTCAGCCTTGGTATGGGAATGACATTCCTCCCTAAAGGATGTTTATGGAATACTGCATGTAATGACACAGATCAAGGGCACTTCCTGAAGCTATAATTTCCTCTAGTGATTTCAACTTGAAAAAAATCACAATTCTAATTTGGCATATTTTGTGGTGATACATCTATATCTCCTTCACCAAGTGTGAAACAAAGATACCTAAACTAGGAAAGCATCACTGGATAGGGACCAGAGAGGATGGGTAGGTGAAACATTTTGAAAGAATCAGTAGGAAGTACTAACTGACTTTTCTAAAAAGAGAGAGGGCTGTAAGTAAGAAGAAATGTTACCAGTGCTTAAACTCTGAAGCCTCCCTGAAAGGAAGAAAGGAAACCAGTGATGAAAATACAGAGAATGAGAAAAGGAGCTTTTTTTGCAGTGAGGTAACAAGAGGAGGCTGCAGAAGTGAAGGAACCACGTTCAAGAGAAGGTACCTTATCAGCAGTTACACATATGTACTATAATTGATTGGCAATAGAAAACAAATAAAGTGAAGACAAAGAAAAATATGAAAATTCACTAAAGAGTTTATTGAGCCAGGCATGGTGGCATACACCTTTAATCTCACTACTGGGAAGGCTGAGGCAGGAGGGTCACCAAGTGTTAGAGGCCAGCCTGAGCTCCATAGTGAAACTGAATGATCAATTCTAAGATCAAGAATCAGGCATAAGAAATACTTAGTTGGAGGAGAATGGGATGGAAAGACCTGGAAGAAAAAGGAGCTCATCAGAGAAGCAAGATGATGAGAAAGAGAGAACAGTAGCACAGAAGCCTCACGGGTACCACATGTTCAAGGAGTGGCCAAGTATGTTAAAGCAAATAGGAACTGAGAAAAGTGCGTCTGTAGGGTCGAGTAGCCTGGCCTAACCTCGTGTACCTAGGAAAACCATTTGGGGCTAAGTATGTGGGGCATGTGTGATGTTCTTTTCCCATAAACTATAAGCAGCAGCCACTGCCTCAGGAGAACTGGGCAGGATTTCATGGTGTCAGGTCCTGAGCCAATTCCCTCATGGCTGGCGCTGAGGAGGCGTCTATTAGTCCTGGGAAAAGCATAGAGTGGGGCTCATTTTGCTTGTCATGGGCCTCATGTACCTCCCAATCCTACCTAAAAGACTGATCAGAAAAGCTCCAACCGGAAAATTTTAAATTATTTGTCAAATTGGAGCTTTATAATTATTCAGAGACAACAGTAGCACAAATGCCTTTCGTCTCAAATGATATATGAATGGCAAGTACAGGGATTGTGAAAATGAGAATGAGGAAGTCTCTCTTGTTTTCTGTCTGTCTTCACTGGTAATTACTAAGTGTTGTAACTTTTGACATGTGTTTTTCTAAGAGTTGGTCTCTAGGGTCAAATTTCCATGAATTTGATTGGTTTTGGGTCATATGGAAGGCATGAGACTACATTTACAAGGTCCTGGACTTGTCTAGCTATTTGAAGGAACAGGAAATGGACTTCACTTGGAGCAAGATGGATGAGGCTGAGATTTTTATTAATGGGGAAAAGTTTTATTTTTCCTTTTCAGTGCTGGGGATTGAACCAAGGACCTTTTCAGAGATAGGGTCTCACTAAATCACTAAACTGCTCAGGCTGGGCTCGAACGTGGCAATCCAGGTACCTCCGTCTCCAGCAGTGCTGTGATTACACATTAATGGAATAACATTTAATATTATAAATTTAATATTATAAAACCTTGAAAGATAAAGCTGGGACAGATTTAGGCAAGTGAGAGCATGTCGAACAAATTTCCTGTGGACATTTACTGACCCAGAAGTATTTTAAACTAAGATTCCGAACACTGAACGAGTTTGAAAGCTTGAAGCTGAGCTTGAAGTTTTCGGAAACGGGTAACAGCGAAGAAACTAGACTTCCCAGGCGGCCTAGCGCACGATTCTCCGCACGCCCTAAGGTCTTGTTGCCCCGAGGCACGCTGGGAAGTGTAGTGCTGCTAGCAGTCTAGCACGTGACGCCTGTGGAGGGCGGCGAGAGAGCACGCCGCCTGGGCTGATCGAGGTACCCGCTGTGCCTGCCTGCCTCTTACAGCTGTGTGTGCAGTGGGGAGGGTTGTCGCCAGCAATGTAATGAGTTGGCTCGAGTTCCGGCTCTGGGAAGTCCGGGTGGGTGAGGCTCGGCGACGCCCCGTCCCGATTCTCGGCAGCTGGGCGGGGCGCAGGCGAAGGTGCAAAAGCTGGGGCTGGAGCTCGCGCTGCGGCCGCGCCGGGAGGAAGCGCGTCTAGGTGGGGCGCAAAGTTTCCTTTTTCTGCTTCTAGTCAAAACAGCTTCAACGGCGAGAGGTGGAAATGCCTCACTTCAGCTTGAAGAGGGCCCGGCGCCAAACAGGTTAAAACAAACGCCGGCCCCGCTTCCCCAGAACGCGCCCTGCCAGCCATGGGCAGCCACGACCACCTGTTCAAAGTGCTGGTGGTGGGAGACGCCGCCGTGGGCAAGACGTCGCTGGTCCGGCGCTATTCCCAGGACTGCTTCAGCAAACACTACAAGTCTACGGTGGGAGGTGAGATGAGTGGCGTCCCCACTAGGACGCGAGTGGCGCGGGCGCGGAGCGGGTGTCCTTGAGTTCTCCCTCGGGTCTGGAAGTCCGCATCTGGGTTCCCCCATGGAGTCGGGGATTGGGGTTCGACTTGTTCCCTAGGTAGGCTTTCCCAGCCTGAGGCGACTGTCTGCAGAGGTAGGGCAAAGGTGTGCAGATGTGAAGGGAGAGAGGGAGGATGTGCTTGAGCGATTGGTGTTCCCCGAAAGTGAATGTTGAGGGTCAGCCTCGCCACTCAGCAGAGCATCTGAGACCCTGTGTGGGACTGGGTAGATGCCAGCTGGGGCTGAGACCCGCCTCTAACGGCGGTCCTAAGCCTAAGGGTGTGGGTCCTAACCCAGAGGGCGTGGAGAGTGTGGACACAGCCTCTCCAGCTGAATCCTAGACCAAACAGATGCTCATCTGATGACCTGAGCGGTTTTTGTCTGTTGATTGCTTAAGTAACCCAGGAATTCTTCAAAGAGTGAAATAGACCACATCTCTAACCTGTCTTCACACCCCTCTCTTCAAACTAAGGGAGGGAGAGAGGATGGGAACTGAAGAATTGATTCATTTCTTTTTCACTGTGACCTTTGGACTCCTGAACTGTGTTTTAAAAGGTAGACAGTGGTTAACTAGAAGGTATTCAGATAGGAAAAGCTGATGATGGGAAAAAGTAACTTAAAATGTTATTATTTAAAGAAAAAAATCTTGTACTGAGGTACATTTTGAAAATGTGTGCTGGTGTTCCTATGAAAGTTTTTTTTTTAACATTAACATTTACTTTAACGTTAAAACATCTCTAGGGTCTGGGGATTTTAGCTCAGTGGCCTGCCTGGCAAGCATGTCCACCAAATTACGATTTTCAGACTGTTTCCTGACCTTGTTCCTAAAAATACGAAAAAAAAAAAAAAAAAAAAAAAAACCAACGAAGATCTGTATTGCATGGATACCAGTGAAAAGCATCCTGCCAATCACTTTTTACAGTGCTAGTTTTCCATTAGTAAAGAACAACTTATTTGACACTATATGTCTCCAAAGCTAGAAGAAGAATATATTTCCAAGCCTTGGAAATTACTCTATTTTTTCCCTTAGCAGACAGCTTTCCCTTGAGTCCTCCTTTAGCCTTAACTCAAAGAATATCAGCCTCTACACGGACTTATTAGACTCTACTAGCTCTTAAGCATCATGTGAAGTGTCCTCCTCCCTGAAATCATCCGGGACTTATTTCATTTATTCCATTCCTGCCTGAGATGATTCCTGCAGCCTTCAGGAAGATGTAGAATGAATGCCCCAGGGTGTTTTTCTCATAATACAATTTGATTAGAAACTGGTGGTGAAATTGAATTTGATTAGAAACTGGTGGAAGATAAAAACCAACCACACTTACCTCATTTCCTGCATCTTCTTTATCATCCCTTGTCTGAGAAAAGCCCCTGTCTCTCCCAGAAACTGTTTAACTTGAGTAAGTGTTGTTTTCATAATCATTCTCCACTCTTCTGTCCCTAGCCTTGGAGATAGTGTTAAATAAGTTGGTTTCACAGGGGAATAAAAGCTGGAAACCTCTTTGAAGAGCCAATATGAATTATCTGTCCCATGCTTAAATACAATTGTAGGCTCATCTTAGCATTTGAGGGCTTAAAAATAAATAAATCGGGTTGCAGTTGCATGTCTCAGAGCTTCTAACTATACATTCAATCTGAATTTGTCCCTGGATTTTTAAAAGTAAACTTTATTCATGTATAATATATCTGGGGGCTGGGGATTTAGCTCAGTGGCATAAGCACCTGCCTTGCAAGCAGGCGGTCATGAGTTGGATCCCAGGTACCAATAAAAAGTTAAAAAAAAAAAAGGCAAACAATAACATATCTGTATTTTCAGTGGATTTCGCTCTGAAGGTTATCCAGTGGTCTGACTCAGAAATGGTGCGCCTCCAGCTGTGGGATATCGCAGGTAAACTAGGAAGACCGGATAGAAACAAGAAATGTTGATTTAACAAGCAGCCTCTTGAAAATAAAAAATGTGGAACAGCAAAATCAGACATTTTTTTTTCTTCTGAAGCTGGAATAATTGAGCTGCCCTAAAGACACCTGAACTGAGAAGGTGGAACTTTTGCAAATGTTTTTTTGTAGCTGTTTTGCCCTGTAGAGATGAGACACACTCTGTGTGGGTGGAAGGACTCCCTGTAGATGTTGCTAGGGTGTCCAGACCATAGATGACCATAGATGATGCTCTTTCCACAGCAAGGGGTGGCTCCTTGTTCTCAATTTTCAGCCAACCTTGGTGAGAAACAAGATTCTAGAAAAATAAACAATGAAAATAGTGGGTCCTTGCTATTTGCTAACTATATCTGTTTAAATTTTAACAAATTTGTATTAATACATATTTGCAGTGCATAATAATTGCATTTATTGTGGGGAGCTGGTCCACGTATATAACACATCTTAATTCTTTTTACTTCCCTTTCCCCACTTCCTCTTCATCCCTTCAGTCATTTCTTCTGAGTATTTCAAATACACTGCTCTGTTGGTTTTCACAAAACCATATCATAAGAACTTTCATCTTTAGTTTAGATATGAGAAATCTGAAGCACAGAGGGAGTGATTTGCTCAGTCAGATAGTGAGTGGCAGAGTAGCAGTTTGGATTTGGGCATCCTGGGTATAGAATCTGCTTTGGGGTGACTAAGCTCAATAATTCCCTTATGAGATAGAAAAAAAAATTGATCATTGGGGTGAGAGAAATGAGGGGTCTAACAGCAAAGGGAGAGCAGGCAGAGTGGAGAGAGGTGATTTTCTAGATCACGTCCTAGAGAACTCTTCTTTTCAGGTCAGGAGCGCTTCACCTCAATGACACGACTATACTACCGAGATGCCTCTGCCTGTGTAATTATGTTTGACGTTACCAATGCCACTACCTTCAGCAACAGCCAGAGATGGAAACAGGATTTAGACAGCAAGCTCACACTGCCCAATGGAGAGCCTGTGCCCTGCCTGCTCTTGGCCAACAAGGTATGGGACTGATGGAAGAAAATGGCCCTGGCCTCTCTGTGCAGTCCGAGAGTACACAGATCAAAAATGTGTGTGCTTTGGAGTCTCCATTTCCCCTTTTCAAGTTGGCAGAGTCATCCCTGTCTCCTGCCAGGGAATGTTGAGAGTGTGACTTTCTTTGGGAAGAAGGTTGATTGTAGATCCTGGACACTGATGTTCCTAGCCATTGGTTGAAGAAATATTCTAAGCCCACAGATATCTAAGCTGTGTTACCATTCTTAGGAAGTTGATGGTGTTGTCTCTTATGTTTTTCTTTGTTAGTGTGATCTGTCCCCTTGGGCAGTGAGCCGCGACCAGATTGACCGGTTCAGTAAAGAGAACGGGTTCACAGGCTGGACAGAAACATCAGTCAAAGAAAACAAAAATATCAATGAAGCAATGAGGTGAGTTGATCATGCTGAAATGGTCTATCCATCTTCCACCAAAGCTGCACAGACTCTCTTTTCATATTTCTGAGTAAACAAGACTAGACTGAACCACTGTAATATCACCTCCTAAATTTTAGGCCTACCATCTTCTTTCCAAGATAACCGGGGCCAAGGGACACTTACATCCTGTGACTTTGTCGAATGCTGTCTAGTAATAAGACAGTGCCTGCCATTTTTCCCTTTCTTCCATCCAGCTTCTTAGGTTTATTTTTCATTTGTTTTTTAGAGTCCTTGTTGAAAAGATGATGAGCAATTCCAGAGAAGATACCATGTCTTTGTCCACCCAAGGGGACTACATAAATCTGCAAGCCAAGTCCTCCTCCAGCTGGAGCTGCTGCTAGTAGCATTTGGCTTGTTTTCTACCCCAGTTCTAGAAGATCTTTCCACTTCTCACCCAGCAGTTTCACTAAGAACATTTGAATTGTTGGCTGCCTGCTGTCTGGTGAGGAGGTCCGTTGTGACTTAAACGCCTGAGACTCCTGGGCATTTCTGCATCTTCTGCCTGTTGGCTGTCATGAGGCCCAGTTAATGCCTTCTGTGTAAGAAAGATCATCTCATCCTTCAATTCATGATCTTGAATTTTGTGGGAAGGGTTAGAATTCAGCATTTATATTTGTTTGGATTTTGTTTTATTTTGTTTTTTTGAGACAGAGTCTCACTATGCAGTTCAGGTTGGCCTTCAACTCACTTTGTGGTGCAGACTGGCCTCAAACTCTCAATAATCTTCTTGCCTTAGCCTCCTGAGTGCTTGGATTACAGACATGTACCTCCATGCCCACCAAGCACCTGTGTTTTCAAAATCATAATTCTCACCTACTTGTAAGCTTACTTTTACATTTGATATATGATAATATGACTTCAAGAAAATGAGATCAGATGTCTTTTCCCAAAATTCTCACAAACCAGTGCTTTCTCATTCCCTTTTATACTTGGAATTTAAGCCTCAATTCTGGGATGCCGAAAAAGAAGGCTGGACATCTGTGGGTTTGGGTTACTGCTGGTAACCTAAGGCATTTGTAGAACTTTTAGTCATGATTAACTTTCTCTCACCTTGACTTCAACAATTGTCAGGTTTTAAACTACCTATCTTGTGTGATGAAAGCATTTCTTTCTGCTGAGAAATGAATCCTCGCTTAGAATTGTTTAGTGTCTCCCTTTTGATTGGGTGGCAAAGGACTTCAGGGCTGTGGATTGATGTCTGGATGCATGGCGCTGCAAGTGATAGCAGATGCTTGGTGCTCTGAAGTAGGTCCATTCTTCACAGTTTGGAAGTCAAAGTGGAAGAAAAGGGAGAGGTTAATAGAATCTGTCAGTGTAGCTTTATAAACACTGAATAGCTAGCACTTAACAGCCAGAGGAAACAAATACCATATACGGCCATGACCTGGGAGTGGAGAATGGATAGACAGAAAATTATTAGGTAAGTTAAGTGCCAAATTGGACAGGGATTTTAGTACCAAATCATTTCTAGACAGTTTAATTTGTGAAATCCTACCCAGGATGATGATTTACAACCTATCCAAGTTTATCAATATTCTTAGAGAATTCAGAGGCATGAGTTCTTCGATAGACCTTAAATAAGTGTCCAAAGTCAGTGGTTTCCAAGCTGACTCCTAAGAAATATTTAGGAAGTTTGTTTAAAAATTTACTTAATGTAAAAAAAAAAATTAATGTTTTAAGGGTTTTGTTAGTCCTACTACTAAACCTACTAAATCAAAATTTCAAGGGAAATTTTGAGAATTTGGCCTGGGAATGTGTTCTTTTCAAAGCTTCCAGGGTGATTGTGATGAACAGTATTTGGAAACCATTGCTGGAGAACTTGTAAAGGATCCTGGGGCTGCTCTTAGCTCTGCAGGGTGTTCCATACACACAAGCTTTGAACACTGCTCTGAAGAAAGAGGCCAGAAAGTAGCAGAAGCAGGGCACACCCTCACTCTTGGTGGTTTGTTGATACTCTTCAATGCCAGTGTTTATAGCTTGCTTAGTCTTTTAAGACCTTGATGTTTTCTTTTGTATTACCACTTTCCAATAGAGTTTTAATTACAGTGATCCTGAACATAATAGTGCAATAACAAATTCCATTTATGTGGAAAAAAATGATTTTCATTCAATAGTTTGAGTCCCTGCAAGATCACAAATAGGAACTAGGTCTTATTTCACTGTAATTAGTAGTTACTGGCATTTTATTTGTTTGTTTGTTTGTTTGAGATAGAGTCTCACCTTGTAGTTTATTTATTTATTTATTTATTTAGTCTTTTTCATTTTTATCAGTACTGGGGATCAAACTCACGATCACCTGCTTGCAAGGCAGGTGCTTATGCCGCTGAGCTAAATTCCCAGCCCCTCACCTTGTAGTTTAGGCTGGCCTTGAATTCACTGTGTAGCCCAAGCTGGCCTCAAACAGTGATCCCCCTGCCTCAGCCTCTTGAGTGCTGGAATTACAGGTATATGCCCCATACCTGGCCCAAATTATTGGCCTTTAATAATGTGAGTTGCAGCGGCATAAGCACCTGCCTTACAAGCAGGCAATCGTGAGTTCAATCCCTGGTACTGATAAAAAAGAAAAAGACAAAAAAATTATAATAATGTGAGTTAATAAGTGCTGTTTTATATCAGTAGTTCAGGAGTACTGTGGAAACCATTATTTTTAAAATACCTTCTTTAGAGGCTGGGGATTTAGTTCAGTGGCATAAGTGCCTGCCTTGCAAGCAGGCAGTCGTGAGTTCGATCCCTGGTACCCATAAAAATGAAAAAGACAAAAAAAAAAAAGGACACATTAAAAAAAAAATTAAAAAAAAGGACACATTTAAAAAAAATACCTTCTTTGTAAAGGAAGGTAAATATTGTGTTTATCTGTTAATTTACTACTACCAAAGGCTTAGATCCGTATGCCCACTCTAATACTTGATGTAATACTGCAAAAACTGCTAGAAATGTGCTTTTTTTTCCCAGTTCGCCTGCTCAGCTCGCCCTGCCTTTCTAAATACTGCCGGAGGCTGCCCTGCCAACTCTTTATTTGAATACTACAGGCCTGAAACTCACCAAGGAAAGAAATGACTACATTCAATTAACGTACAATAATTCCCCTCTATGCTTCTATAGATAGAGAAAAGAAAACCAATTAAGAAGAGGAAGAAGACCCTATGGTGGCTTTAAGCCACCCTACTTCCTCAAGGGTATATTTTTATCTTGCTTTTTTCCTCTTTTATTTGGTTAAAGATCACTCTGCAGAGCTAGTTTCTCCCTTTGCTTTTTCAAAGAAACTTTGCCACTGCTAAAAAAGAAGGAGAAGGAAGAGGAGACAACTTCCATGACTAGAAATGCAATTACACTAAAAATAATTAAGTCCTATATTTGGATGCTGCCTTGTTGGTATATTCACGTTCTAAACAATCTGTAGTCCTCCCCTACACTCATTCCTGTATTTAAGGTAAGATGCCCCCCACTATTCATCTGGTCTTTGGTCAGAAAGAAAACCTGGGGCTGGGGATTTAGCTCAGCAGCATAAGCACCTGCCTTGCAAGCATGCGGTCGTGAGTTCGATCCCCGGTACCGATAAAAACGAAACAGACCAAAAAAAAAAAAAAGAAAACCTAAGAATTCCCCTGGTGGGTGTTCTGAGAGACCCTCAGAAGGGCTGAGAACAGAGCTGTGGGATAGTGACTCCCTTGGCTTTGTGACTAAATAAACAGAGAAGAGATGATAGGACAGAGAAGGCCCTCGTCAGTCCACAGCTCCTTATCAATGCTGCAGAGCTAAAATGAGTCCCTGTGTCCAGCGACCACTGAGGTACAGATGGGTTCCTCAGCTTTATTCTTCAAGACACCCTGCCCCCCCATCTTGCCTGAGGCTTTCCTTGCTGGTCATCTTTTTGTGGGCAGTGCATTGCATTTGACATGATTTAGGGCCATTGTGTGAGGATGTAAAAATCTGGATGGAATTAGAAAATCCAGTGACCAAATCTTGCAAGGAAACAAACCTCAGCACCTCTCTCTCCTCCACCCTCTGGGTTCCCTGTGTCAGTGACTCATCTGTTACAGCCCAACAGTCCCGAAAGCTCTGGTTTCAGGTTGAAATAGGTAGAAAGTCAACTGGAAAGTTCTCTGTGTTGGAAAGAACTCTGTGTACATTTTTGATTCAGCCCAAAATACCAGAGACTGCAGACTATATCTGTATATTGAGGGTCCCCCCCCCCCCCCGGTCAAAAAGATCCTGATTAGCTCAGCAGCATAAGCACCTGCCTTGCAAGCAGGCGGTCGTGAGTTCGATCCCCGGTACCAATAAAAAGGAAAAAGACAAAAAAAAAAAAAAAAAAAAAAAAGATCCTGATTTCCTTTAGTTTTTAAACATGATCTGAATTCACTCCCGTTTTATCTGCATAAGTTTAGGATAATAGTGGTATTGTTCTGCATTACATTTTTCCAGGGAAACAGAACTGACCAGAAAAAGAATATATATAGAGATACAAATATATATAGATAGGGAGAAATATAAATGTAGAAATGGGTATACACTTACTATAAGGAATTGGCCCTCACATTTATGGCTGGGAAATCCAAAATCTACAGAGCTGACATCCCAGTTGAGTCCAAAGGCCAGCAGGATGGAAGAGCCTGTGCTCTAGCTTGAAGGCTGTCAGGCAAAAGTCTCTCTTACTTGGGAGCAGACTTGTTCTGCTCACGGCCTCACTGGATTGGATGAGCCCACCCACATTAGGAAGGCAAATTTGCTTATAGCTTCCAATTTAAATATTTATCTCCTTCAGGGCCCCTCCTCTCAGAAATACCCAGAAGAGCATTTGATGAAATATCTGCATACCTAGTCAGGTTGATTAAACATAAAATTTTTAAAAATAAAACAAAATTAACCATTCGTTGCATGCTCTCAACAGTACTGAGTGATAGGTACTGCTTTGATAGTTTTTCTTCACACAATTTTAATCTGATTCACATTCAACTTAAAGTCCAGTTTGTTAGGAATTAATTACATGATAATAGGACTCAATGGGAGGAAACAGGTAGAAAGGTGATGTAACAGGTTTTTTGTTTGTTTTTGAGTTGTTTTTTTTTTCTTTCTTTTTCAAGACAGGGTCTCACTGTGCAGTTCAGGCTGGCCTTGAACTTACAACAGTCCTCCTGCCTCGGCCTCCTAGTGTTGGGATGACAGACTTGCTCCGCCATGCCCAGTTTATGATAAGTGTTTTCTGATTTATTATATGAGTCCAAAGCACTAGAAACCAATATCCTTCCCTCAGACTGACAAGTTGTATTATCTCTTACACTGTCTTTGAAATAAGAAAGTAAACAGTTCCTCCCATTTAATGTTTAAGGGAACAAATGTCTCAAAATTTGACTTACTGAAAGGCAGCTGGTTGCATTTGTCATAAAGCCAAGACACAACTCCATGGCTTCCAATTCCTTGTCTCCATTCTGTCATTTAGGTTTCTGGGAAACATTTGGCCTGCAAAAGCTATTTTAGAAAATAAGCCCAGACATTTAGAGAAACAGAACTGAGTCCTTAGGGGTTTGAAACTCTAGCTTTGTGTCAGACAGCTTCAAGGACATGTTCACGTGTGGAAGAGACACGTGTTACTAAATTGGAGGTCAAATTAAGTGGAGCCTGAGTAGCAGGCAATTCGGATGTGTCCTAAGATGGTTAGCTGACGAGCCACATTTACCAAGCTCAGTAACTCTCATTTAATTTTCAATATTGCTTTTCCTTTTTCGCAAGAGCAGCAGTTTTAACAACCATTCTGTTTTCAACTATCGCTGCCAGTAGCCAGTGTTAATCTGAGTGTTTGCTATAAACCACAAACTCTTCTGAATACTTCACATGGATAATTTTTATCTCACAGTGACCTCTTATGTGTTAAATATTTGAGGAAACTGAAGCAAAAGAAATAGATTTTTTTCAGTGTTAGACATCTGGCAGGTAACAAAATCGTGATGTTTCCCCCTAAGCAATGTGACATCAGAAACGGCCCTTTGCTATTTTATGTGTGTGTCTTGGTGATGGTAGATCCTTGCAGTTTTTCCATTTAAAGATTTTCAGATTTTCAGTATGGTAGAAAAAGTAATTTATTAAGTGGATAATTAAGTGGGTAGACAGATTTTCCAGTACTTTTATACTGAAAGAGTTA